TAAAAAAAATAAAAAGAAATAAAAATCACGACGTTTCGGAGGCAACACAGATGACGGAAGCTTGTGTTGCCTCCGAAACGTTGTGATTTTTATTTTTTTTTATTTATTTTATTTTATGAATTTCAATTTTTACCTACGTGACTTTACCGAACAAACCTAAGAACCGGTTCAGATATTCGTCACGTGTGTTGGTGGCCGTGTGCGGGTAATCGAACTCGGGTCGCCAGACTTCGCGGTGCAGTGCGCTAACCACTACACTCCCGCTCCCCACTTACTCACGTGCAAGCATGCACACAACACAGGACCCAGGTCACTCTTGCGAATGAGGACTCATCGCTGGAATCTCGAGCGCCGCGCATCACCGCTCGCACTCCAATCGCAAACGCTCACGCACGCAACACAAAACTCGCACGCACACACAAGGCAAAGATCCCCCCCCTACGTCTAGCCTTGACAGACTGTTGGGGCAAGTGCTGTTAGCGAGCACCTATGACACACGAGGGGGGTTGGTGGGCCAGAACCACGCCTGACCGCTTTTGTTTACCCAGAGTGGCGATGTTTTACACACCGCACCAAGTACCCATCGTAGGCTGAGTCGTCCTAGGGGAGGCCCAGGACCGGGATCAGAAATCTACCACCGATGTTTGTCCTTGAGCGGGAATCGAACTCGGAACGCGGGTTCTGTCAAAGTGGCGTGCTAACCGTTACCACTACGGCTCCCCACTCCGTCACGCATGCACGCACGCTCACCCAACAAGGCGATTCGATGTCGGAGCAACGTCATCATCATTACCACCACCACTACCATCTTCATCACCATAGTCAGGGGCCTCCCTCCCGATAGGAGTTCCCCTCCCCCCCCCCCATTACTGATGCCGCACACACGCGCACACCTCATCACAAGTCGCACAAATAAATCTCTGTTTGTCATCACCTCCCTCCCTCCCTCCCGCTCACTCGCTGCCTCTCCTCCTCTTCTCTCGTGTTGCCTAGAGACCAGACCGGCGCATTGAATCACCCGTCCGCGTGGCTTTTTTTGGGGAGGAATTCGGTGGTGGTGGGTGGTGGGGATGATAGGGGAGGTGATGGTGGTGGTGCGTGGATGAAAGAGGGTTGCGATCTTGGTGTATGTGGTGGTGGTGGTTATGTTGAATAGCGGAGATGGCGGTGATGGTGGTGTGGTGGGGATATGGCGGAGGGTGATGGGTAGTGGAGATGAGATGGTAGAAATAGTGGTGGTGGTAATGGCATTGGTGGTGGTGTGCGGGATAGGGAAGTGGTGGGTGATAGTCGATAATGATGCCGATGGCTATGATCATGACGGTGGTGGTGATTGTGGCAGTTGTGATAGCGATTGTGGCGGTGATGGCAGAGGTGGTGATGGGGGAGGTGATGGTTGAGGCGGTGATGGTGGTGATGGTGGAGGTGGTGATAGTGGTGAGCGAGATATCAGGTATAGCGCGTGTCCCGAATGAGTTGTGAGCGAAAATCACCACGCAGAGTGTTAACCCACGGAGTGCGAAGCGGCTCTGAGATTGAACAAATGTAGCACGCACATATACACCCACATACATAACCCACACACACAACCCACACACACAACCCACAACACAACGCACATACACAACCCACACACATAACCCACACACACAACCCACACACACAACCCACACACACAACGCACATACACAACCCACACACTACCCCACACGCACAACCCACACACACAACCCACACACACAACCCACACACACGCCACCCACACACACAACCCACAGAACAAGCCACATACCAACCCACACACTACCCACACACAACCCCACACAACCCACACACACATACACTACCCACACACACAACCCACACACACACAACCCATACACAACCCACACACACGCAACCCACACACAACCCACACACACGCCAACTCACACACACAACCCACACACACATCCCACAGAACAAGCCACACACCAACACACACATCAACCCACACACACAACCCACACACACACAACCAACACTCAACCCAAACACACACAACCCACACACACACAACCCACACACACACACAACCCCACATACACAACCAACACACAGCCCACACACACACAACCCACACACACACAACCCACACATACACAACCCACACACACACACAACCCACACACACAACCCACACACACACAACCCACACCCACACAACCCACACACCCACCACCACTACACACACATACAACCCACACACACCAACTCACACACAGACAGGCCACACGGACCGGAGATTGTGAGCACAGTTAGTGCTGGGTCTAGGGTTATGGTTGATGGGTTTCGGGTTTCCGGGCTCGCTGTTAAGGGGTAGACTTTGAAACGAATCATTTGACTCCAATATCCCGAAACAGGACCCTCTTGAAAACAGCGACGAGTCTGAGTAAAAGCAAACCTGCCAAGCCCTTATCTTACCTTATTACAGACCAAATCAGACCTCATTGGTCCCCGGGTGCCCTTTATACACTTCAACGTTCATCCTACAAAGTCCCATCACAAGGTTGAAACACAAACTAATAAACAAAAATGCGTTTGTCGGTATTGAAACCGCTGTACGCCGTATGGACCTGAAAACTCAATTTCCCTTGTACAAGAACACGGGGTATTTCTCCGTGCGGAGAAATAAAACAGCGCCCCTCCTTGACCGTTAGCGCGGCGCTCCAAAGTCGTTGCGCAAAAACCCACCTCCCTTCTCCCTCCACGCCGACCATCGTGGTGAAGTATGGACAATAACGAAAACCCCTCCCCTCGCCCCCCGCAAATCCAGCGGGCTCGACGTCAACCAGCGGTGGAGTGACGACGCCTAAGGGTGACGCGTGGGCGTTTTCGTGCGTCTCTGCCGCTCGAAAGCTCAAACCTCTCAGGCCCACGTGGGCCCCCCTCGCAGCGTCAACGGTTGCTCATCTCATTGCCAGAGGCGTCCATAGACGAGTGGGCGGTGTGGGGGGTGCCTGGGGGGAACTTCCACAGTGTGGCCCCCACCCCCTCCACCCCTCCCCCCCCCTCCTTCCCCCAGCGCCGGCAGACGAAACAGGAAAAGTATTACATCTGATGATACCGTGGCGGTGACGTGTTTACCCCCTGCAACACCTACCCCCCTCCCCGCCCATCAAAGCGCGGGGCCCCGGGCGGTCACCCCGACTCACCGCACCCTTAAGGGGATGGCTCTGCGAACGTACATCTCACGCTGCCGACAGCACCATCATCATCAACATCGCTGCCATCACAACCTCGCTCGTCCTCCATCCTCCTCCTCTACACCCTCCTCCTCCCCCCCGCCTCTCCCTCCTCCGACGAGTAATTGGTAAACGCTGCGAGTAAAATATCAAGCAACGCCGCACCCGTAGCGGGAACGCGTGTCCCTCCACTCCCCACCACTACGACATCTCCCTCCAGCATCGGCCCCTCCCCTCCCCTCCATCTCCCTACCCCCTCTCCCTCCTCCGTGCATCTCGAGCTCCCTCATCTCCCCCCCCCCCTCTCTCGCTCTCTCGTTCTCCTCCAACTCCCTCGCCTCTGACTCCTCCATCTCTCCTCTCTCTCTCTTTCCTCCGCCTCTCTCTCCAATCTCCCTCGCCTCTCGCTCACTTCTCTCCTCCGTCTCCCCGCCTCCCTCGCTCCCGGTCTCTCATCGCACACCACACCAATCCCTCCCCCACCCCACTCACTCCCTCCCTCCTCTCCCCGTCGTCATCCATCCCTGCCTGCCCTTTAAACCCTCACTCCCTTCCTCGCTCTTTTAAATGATTCCCCCCTCCCTCCCTCCCTTCATTCACGAACACAATCTCTGTGTTTCTACGTTGCATACACACAACTCCCTCCCTGCATCCATCCCTCCCTCCCTCTCTGCACCACTCTCTCCATCCACCACCCTTCCTCCTTGCATCCCTCCCTTCATGCATCCTTCGCTCCCTCCACAAAGACAACGATCCCCCGCACAGCCTTCACGGACTGTCGGGGCAAGTGCTGTCAGCGAGCACCTATGAAGTGCTCTTCCTCCACAGACACACGTACACAAGCTCTCTCCCCCCCCCTCGGCCCCCCCTCCTCTCTCCCCCCTCCACCCCCCCTCGGCCCCCCACCCACTCCTCTGGTGCGTTATTTGAGCTGCTGCTGTGGGTCATTGCCGGCCCAGGTTTCGGGTCAATAGCGCGAGAATTCAGATTCCAAATATTGGCAGAAACGCCCATCATAGCCGCACAGTCGCTGTGGTCAATGATTCTTGTATTTTAAAAGTTTGCCCTTTGATACCGGCAAATAAGGAGAGCACACGTGGGAATGGCGATCGGGGGGGGGGGGGGTGGGTAAACAAATATAACATTTGTATATTTATTTATTAGGGATCGTCTGGGGTGTTCAGCTAATCATATTTTCTCACCACGTCCTCCTCCCCCCGCCCCGTGCCTCCCCCGCGTCTCCCCCGCGTCTCAACTATATCGCCACCGCAACTCGCCCCTATCTCCCCCCCGTATCTCCCCCCGTATCTCCCCCGTATATCCCCCCATTATCTCCCCCCGTATCTCCCCCGTATCTCCCCCCGTATCTCCCCCTGTATCTCCCCCCATTATCTCCCCCCGTATCTCCCCCCCTATCTCCCCCCTATCTCCCCCCCGTATCTCCCCCCGTATCTCCCCCCATATCTCCCCCCGTATCTCCCCCCGTATCTCCCCCCTATCTCCCCCCCGTATCTCCCCCCGTATCTCCCCCCATATCTCCCCCCGTATCTCCCCCGTATCTCCCCCCATATCTCCCCCCGTATCTCCCCCCGTATCTCCCCCACGCCTCTCCCGCGTCTTCCCCACCCGCTCCGTTTCCCCATAGCTCCCCCGAATCTCCTCCATATCCCCTCCATACCCCCCCTATACCCCCCTCCGTATTTCCCTCGCATCTCCCCCGCATCTCCCACCCACAGCCCCCAGCCCCCACCCCCCCCTTCCCCCGCCTCTCGTCACCCTGTGGGAAGAGAGGCGCGTTGTCGTTGACGTCCTCCAGGGTGATGGTGACGGTGGCGGTCCCCGTGAGGCCACCCTTCTGGCCCGCCATGTCCTTGCCCTCGATCACCACGCGGAACAAGCTGCGCGCCTCCCGGTCCAAGTTGGAGTGTGCCGTGCGGATCTCTCCTGCGGCAGCAGAGGCGGAAGCATCGTCGGCATCGTGAGCAGTGGTGCCATCGTCATCATCATCAGTGCCATCGTCACCAGCGTTACTCTCTCATCGTCATCATCATCATTGCCATCGTCATCATCATCGGTGCCATCGTCATCATCATCAGTGCCATCGTCATCATCATCAGTGCCATCGTCATCATCATCAGTGCCATCGTCACCAGCGTTACTCTCTCATCGTAATCATTATCAGTACCATCGTCATCATCATCAGTGCCATCGTCATCATCATCAGTGCCATCGTCATCATCATCGGTGTCATCGTCATCATCATCAGTGCCATCGTCATCATCAGCAGTGCCATCGTCATCATCATCGGTGCCATCGTCATCATCATCAGTGCCATCGTCACCAGCGTTACTCTCTCATCGTCATCATCATCATTGCCATCGTCATCATCATCGGTGCCATCGTCATCATCATCAGTGCCATCATCATCATCATCAGTGCCATCGTCATCATCATCAGTGCCATCGTCACCAGCGTTACTCTCTCATCGTAATCATTATCAGTGCCATCGTCATCATCATCAGTGCCATCGTCATCATCATCGGTGCCATCGTCATCATCATCGGTGCCATCGTCATCATCATCAGTTCCATCGTCATCATCATCAGTGCCATCGTCACCAGCGTTACTCTCTCATCGTCATCATCATCATTGCCATCGTCATCATCATCGGTGCCATCGTCATCATCATCAGTGCCATCGTCATCATCATCAGTGCCATCGTCATCATCATCAGTGCCATCGTCACCAGCGTTACTCTCTCATCGTAATCATTATCAGTACCATCGTCATCATCATCAGTGCCATCGTCATCATCATCGGTGCCATCGTCATCATCATCAGTGCCATCGTCATCATCATCAGTGCCATCGTCATCATCATCAGTGCCAACGTCATCATCATCAGTGCCATCGTCATCATCATCGGTGCCATCGTCATCATCATCAGTTCCATCGTCATCATCATCAGTGCCATCGTCACTAGCGTTACTCTCTCATCGTCATCATCATCAGTGCCAACGTCATCATCATCAGTGCCATCGTCATCATCATCAGTTCCATCGTCATCATCATCAGTGCCATCGTCACCAGCGTTACTCTCTCATCGTCATCATCATCAGTGACATCGTCATCATCATCGTTGCCATCGTCATCATCATCAGTGCCATCGTCACCAGCGTTACACTCTCATTGTCATCATCATCTTCAGCATCATCATCAGCATGGAGGTGAGTATGGGGGGTGGAAGTGGGGGCGGGCAAGTGGTGTTTGTGGAGGTACGGGAGGAAGGATAGGTGAACAGGGGGAGGAAGGTGGAGTGGGGGAGGGGGCGAGGTATGGGGTAAGGGGGCATGAGCGAGACGGTGAGGGGAGGTGGGTGGGTGGGGGGAGGGAGGTGGGTGGGTGGAGGGGGGCGGTGGGTGGGTAGGGGGGGAGGGCCATACCCCACCCCACCCCGCCACCACTCTCTGAGTAGCCGACTGAGTGAGTGTCTCAGCGACTGCCCCCGTTGTGAGCTCTGATCGCGCGGGTCCGGCCGAGGCTCCGCGCCTTCTCTGCCACCGTCTGCGAGGAGTGCTCGTGCTTATGATTGCTATCAATCAAGCAGCAGCAGCGGGATCGGTAACATCCCTGGCTGTGTCCTATCGAGGATCCATACCGTGCGGATGCGTTTGATAATTTAACATCAGCCACCCATGGAGGTGACGAAACACGCGTTAATTAAGTGAGGAGCTGTAATTGATTAATGAGACGGAAGGAGAGGAGGAGAGGGAGGGGGAGCCGGGAGGGAGTTCAGGAGGAGGAGGGGGTTACGGGAGGAGATGGGGCAGGATAATGGGAGGGATGGAAGGGAGGGGGGAGAAAGGAGAGAGGGGACGGAGTGGAGGGAGGGGATGGGGAGAGATCTGGAGACGTGCTGAGATGGAGAGACATCGGGGGAAAAAAGAGAGACAGAGAGAGATCGAGAGAGACACACGGGGAGATTGGAGCAGAGATGGGGAGAGACGCATGGTGACAGAGAGACGCACAGAGAGATACGGAGAGAGACGGGGAGAGACGGGGGGAGGAATGGGAGGTGGGACATTGGGATGCAGCAGGGGGAGATTCGGCATAATAATAATATTTATACTGGAGGAATCCGACAAACTATGCAGCTCTTTTGTACAGCTATCCAGTCGAGGGCAGATCAGAACGTTACAACAACAAACAACGCTTAAACAAACAATCGGAGTGCAAAGTATAGGAAAGGCAAACACATCACTTAAAAAGTATACAAATAAAAAAAAACACTTTTTTTTAACCAGGTGAGGCCCTACCGAGCTATTATGAGCTTCTTTTTCAGAAGCGACCTGGCCACAAATGATTGCTCAACAAAGTGGCTTATCGCGTGGACATTCATAGCAGCAAAATCATCTCAATTATAGAGACAGGGGATTGGGACATGGGAGACAAGGGAGATGTGGAGACACGGGGGGAGACACGGGGGTGGGAGGGGGGAGCAGGGGGCTTGTCTAACCGGTGTTGGCGTCGATGGAGAAGTATGGCTGTCCTTCTAGCAGCCGATAGACGACCCTCGCACTGTTCCCATACGAAGAGTCGTCCGCGTCCGTAGCCGTGACTCGAGTGACGGACGTTCCTGGGGTACACGGGAGGACGTGTGAGACATGGGAACATGGGGACACGGAGACACGGAGACATGGGGACATGGAGACATGGGGACACGGGGACACGGAGACACGGGGACACGGGGACACGGAGACACGGGGACACGGAGACATGGGGACACGGAGACACGGGGACATGGGGACACGGGGACGTGTGAGACACGGGGACACGGGGACACGGAGACACGGAGACATGGAGACATGGGGACACAGAGACATGGGGACACGGAGACACGGAGACATAGGGACATGGAGACATAGGGACACGGGGACGTGTGAGACACGGGGACACGGGGACACGGAGACATGGGGACATAGGGACATGGGGACACGGGACGTGTGAGACACGGGGACACGGGGACACGGAGACACGGGGACACGGAGACATAGGGACATGGGGACACGGAGACACGGGGACACGGAGACATAGGGACATGGGGACACGGAGACACGGGGACACGGAGACATAGGGACATGGGGACACGGAGACACGGGGACATAGGGACATGGAGACATGGGGATACGGGGACGTGTGAGACACGGGGACATGGGGATACAGATAAATGGGGACATTGGGACATTAGGACATGGGGACATAGGGACAAGGAGACACGGGGATCCAGAGACACACACAAATACATTCTGTCCTGGGCCTCTCCTTCTGTCGGCTCAGCCTCAAATGAGTACCTGGTGTGGAGTGTAAACATCAGGAGTGGAGAGACGAAATCAGCGGGCTGTGGCGCTGGCCAGAATCAATAGCAGTGGTTCATAGAGAGATGGAGAGGACCGGGGGAAGGGTATAAGGATTGGCCAAGGTGCGGTGCGAAAGAAGTCCAACGTGCATAGAGCAGACGAGAGAAAGATGATGAATCAGACGGAGAGGGTGGAAAGTGAACGGAGACGCGGAAGAGCGAAAGGGGTCGGGAGAGATGCGGAGAGGGAGGAGGAAGAGGCTGCTGCGTGGAACAGCGTCTGTTCTCACCGTGGGCGGAGAGAGGGAGGGGAGGGGTTTCAGAGTGTGGGGGGGGGGGGGGGTCACACAAGCCACGTGGTTTACGGGAGGCTTGAGCTGCTTTAGAGAGACGATCGTGGAGCCAAATACTGATTGGTAGAATTGACGATGTGGAGGGACCCTCCTGAAACGATCGTCTTGAGACTCGGCGAGGGTTTGCCGAATAAATAAAATCAGTCGCTATCATCATTGCTGTTGTTACAAAGACAAATATCCCCCTAGTGCCTTTAACAGACCGTTGGGGCAAGCGCTGCTAGCGAGCACCTACGAAGGCCGGCTCGGCACCCGACATTGGCGGGTGGGTGGCTAGAACCACACCCGGACGCCTTTGTCTTTCCAGTGTACCAACGTTGGGCGAACGTTATTCCAACGTTGGACGAACGATGGACGAACTTTGGACGAACGTTTAGTTATACAATTTAGCATCGCCGCCCACACCCAGAGTGGGGACCCGTGAATGTCTCCGCTCAATCATCTCCGGGCCCGTAACGACACAAATGTTATTAATTGAACGCAACGGTAAATAAATAAACGGAGCAGGGTATGGATTTGTGAATTGTCTGGGGGGAGGGGTGAGGCTGGGGGAGGGGGGGCGGGGGAGAGTGGGGGGAGCAGTAGCGCAGTGGTTAGCGCACTGCGCTACGAAGCCTGGCCACCTGAGTTTGATTCCCGCTCATGGTTTTCGATGTTGATTGGAGAATGTCTGAAACAGTCCTCAGGCTCCCACTGGTCGAATCAGCCTTAAATGTGGTGGTGGGGGTGGTGATTGCAAAAGAGGGGAGCGGAAGTGCAGCGGTTAGCGCGCTCCGCTACGAACCCGGCGTCTGGAGTTCGATTCCCGCTAAGGGCCAACATTCGTGACGATTATCTGAACCATCCCGAGCCTCCCCTAGGTAGACTCAGCATCAAAATTCATAGCTAGTCCGATGTGTAGTAAACATTACCCATTAGGGAGACAAAGGCGGCCGGGTGTGTCGCTGGCCACCCTTCCCCTCCTGTGCCGTGCCGGCCTTCATAGGTGCTTCCTAACAGAACGTGTCCCAACAGCCTGTTCAAGACAAAGATCCCCGTATAGCCTTTAACAGACTGAGCACCTATGAAGGCCGGCACGACACACAACGGGGGTGGGGTCGCCAACACCACCCACCCCCGGCCGCCTTTGTCTCCCTAGTGGCGATGTTCACACACCTCACAGGTACTCATTCGAGGTTGAGTCGACCTAGCGGGAGAGGCCCAGGACTGGTTCAGATAATCGTCACCGGCGTTGGCTGCGAGCAGGAGTCGAACTCGGCTCGCAGGGTTCGTAGCGCAGCGTGCAAACCGCTGCCGCCACCGCTCCCCCACACCGCCACCACCGCCGCCACCACCGCCGCCACATCCTCCGCACGTGCCTCAACCCTCACTCACTCCATCACCTCCACTGACACTCCCCACTTGAGCTCATCTCAATCACGCATAATCTCTCCGATTTTCCATGCTCGCTCTGAATCCAGCAATGCAGCCCCAGCACGGAACCCGGGCATTCATCATCACCCACCGCCGCTCTCGGCCGAAATTTATTCCGCCCAAAATATTTCACTCCGCCGAATTAAAAATGTCCCTTTTTCTTTATTTATTTATTTGCCTCCCTCAAAAACGCGAGCCCGCGCGGACGTCTCTCACTCCGTTTATTCCGCCCCGACCTGAACTGCTCCACGGAGCCGCAGAGACGCGTTTCAATATCATGCGCACGGATAAACCAGGCGAACACGCCGACGCTGGGGCAACGTTGGGAATGTGGTTGTCGCAACGTTGGCCCGACATTCGTCCAACGTTGGACAAAATTCAAACGAATGTTGGTCCGAGAGTGTGGTGCGCGGTGTGCATGATTGCATGTTGAACTTCTTTCACACCACACGTAGCCAACCGCGCTGATGGGAGGTGAGGGGGGAGGAAAGGCCAACGGACGGTGGGTGGTGGGTGGTGAGTGGTGGTGAGTGGTGGTGAGCGGCGACTCACCGATGGGAGACATCTCAGGCACGCTGGCGTGGTACGGCTCGTCGGGGAAGCGCGGCTCGTTGTCGTTGATGTCCTGAACTTTGACCACGAACTGCGTGGGCGGCTCCAGGGGCTGTCTGGTCACCGCGTCCACCACCTTGCACCACGTCACAACCACGTCACAACCACGTCACAGCCACGTCACAACCACGTCACAACCACGTCACAACCACGTCACAACCACGTCACAGCCACGTCACAACCACGTCACAACCACGTCACAACCACGTCACAACCACGTCACTCTAGAGTGAACCACATCGCTCGTGAGGCTGCCACATCGCATCTCCGAGACAACCACGCCAACCAACGCGGGGACGTCGTAACCATGGCGGAGGATGTCCGTCTTTCACAGGAGGAGGTGGGTGGGAGCGTGGCAGCCCGGAGGAAAGAGACAAGAATCCGACGCCGCTGAAAAGCCTTGGTTCCATTCGAGGTCTCGGCCACAACCGCAGCGTTTGCGCGTGGGTCTCTTAGTATAGCGAGTTGATGGCCTAAGCCCGGTCACCAGTGAATATCATAGAGACCCACAGACTCACACATAGGCCCATAGACTCACATAGAGACCTATAGACTCACATAGAGACCCATAAACTCAAACAGAGAGTCATAGACTCACACAGAGACCCATAGACTCACAGAGAGATCCATAGACTCACACAGAGACTCTTAGACTCATACAACGACCCATAGACTCACAGAGAGACCCATAGACTCACACAGATACCCATAGATTCACAAAGAGACTCAGGGACCCATAGAGGCACTTAGAAAACCATAGACTCACATAGAGGACCATAGATTCACTGATATACCCAAAGACTCACATAGCGATCCATAGATTACATAGAGACCCATAGACAACATAGAGACCCGTAGACTCAAGCAGAAACCGCAGACTCACACACATTTACATAGACACAAATAGACTCACACAGAGAGAACTATATAGAATCGCATCACAACCACTGCACACAGGCATACGAAAACAACCCCTGTCATATTAAATGTAGGCACTGCACTTCGTTTTGGCTAAATTCCAGACGTGAGGATTAAAAATATCGGTTTTGGCTGTCATGTGACGAACGCTCCTCTGTGTAGCAGCAGGACGCGTGAGAAAGTGCTGCCCCTGGGGCTGCTGGGGAAGGGATGATTGGTTCGGGATTGTCACCCGGGACTACCCCCACCCACCCTCCCCTCCACCCCCCGTTTCCTACTCCCCCCCCACCCTACCCCCCCCCTCCTCCTCCATCCCTCACCTTGACTCCCTCCCTCCACTCTCTCCCTCCCTCCACGTATTCCCTCTCTCCCCACCTTCCCCCCACCTCTCTCCCACCCCCCACCCACCTCCCCTTCCACCCCCCGTTTCCTACTCCCCCCCCACCCCTCTACCCCCACCTCCTTCCCTCACCTTGACTCCCTCCCTCCACTCCCTCCCTCCACTAATTCCCTCCCTCCTTCACTTCACCCATTGCTCCCTCCTTCCTTGTTCATATCCTCTCTCTCTCTCTTACCCCTCCACCCCTTTGCCTCACATCTCCCTCCCTCCCCACCTCCCCCCCACCTCTCTCCCCCCCCACCTCTCCCCCCCCCACCTCTCCCCCCCCACCTCTCCCCCCCCCACCCACCCCCGCCCCTCCTCTACCTGCGCAAGCAAGGTGTAGAGCGACTGTTGTTCTCGGTCCAGAGCCTGGGACACTCGGATGTCGCCCGTGTGCTCGTCGATAGTGAAGAGGGATTCTGCTCCCTCCCCCGTGAGCAGGTAGAGAACTGATCCGTCCCCAGGGTCCTGGTCAGAGTGGAGCTGAGGGGAGGGGCCGGGGTGGGGGGAGGGGGTGGAGCAGAGAGAGAGCGAGAGAGAGAGGTTGTGTCACGTGTCTTGACATTCGACAAGTAGGAGTCGTGAAGGGGCAAAGCTTTGGGCTTTTTTTGCTTGGAGGCTCAACCAGGACACGTGGGTTCAGCCCTGCCCGCTAGACACGTCCCAGCCATTATTATATTATTTTATTATATTATATTATTGTTTAATTTTGATTATATTATTATTTCCCTTCTACGTGACTTTACCGAAAGAACCAAGAAGACGCCCCAGCCAGTTATCAACCCCGCCCAGAGTCAAAAGCACTTTGATTCTAAATGTGGAGGAAGTAATGAACAAAAACACAGAGGGACCAGAGCAAAAATCCACGCGACCACGTGCAGAGAGACTCACATGCAAACTGCAAATATACAGCAGGCGTCAGGGTCGGAATAGAACCCACGGTCTCCTGCATACCGGGTGAGGTAGTCAACATCTCGCACTCACACAGACTCACCTTGCCGATCTTGAAAGGCTCGGGCATTTTAAATTCTTCCACCACGAAGAACTGATTCCACACCCAGCTCCGCTTGCTTCTCCGAGCCAGCCCCAAGTCATGCCCTTGACCCTGAGCCTGGCCTTGACCTGGCTGGATCGCCTGCCAGGCTGCGGTCGCTGGCTGGAGAGGGGCTAGGGCGACGACGACGAGGAGAATGACAGCTCCCCCGAGAAGCGGGACGTCGAACCCGGGCGAACGCATCTCTCTTGTAGCCAGATACGTCGTCCTCCAATACGGGCAACTGGTGACAAGGCGGCGGTAGTGATGATGATGATGATCTTGGTGGTGGTAGAGGAGAACGAGGACCTGCGGCTGCTGACGAGCAGGCGGACTTGTGGGAAGCTTTGAATTTGACGGACGTGGAATTCACTGTCGGTTGGGGGGAGCGAGAGCGAGAATAATGATCAGCGTCGCCATCAGAATCACCATCAGCAACAGCGGTGGCACTAGCAGCAGCAGAAGCAGCAGGCAGCAACAACAGGAATGATAGTCGTTCAATATCATCATCATCAGCTAAAATATCATCATCAGCAGCAGCAATATCATCATCAGCAGCATCATCAGCAGCAGCAAAATCATCATCGCACCTCCGATTAACGCGGTTGGCTACGTGCGGTGCGAACGAAGTTCAACATACATACAGTAAGGCCACAATCAACAGCAACAGCAGCAGTTCGCCATCATCATTAGTAGCAGCAGCAGCAGCATCGCCATCAGCAACATCATCACCATCAGCAGCAGCGTCAGGATCATCACCACCTGTCACAATAACCCTTAAAACTAGAACCTGAAATACTGTACTCCCATCCCTGCGTGATCCACCATCCCCCAACGCTGTATTTGTGTATACATATTCCCACGTGACAGAGTGTACGATAATACGTTATATTATAAACGTGCATATTTAGTTCCCCAGGATAGCCTCACTGAGTCCCAGGAGCTATAATGTGTGGGCAGGTCGCTTATAAAAAATTGTTTAAGACCGAAATGGGCTTTGCCTGGTAGGATGGGGATGGTTTAGTTCAATTCGTATGTGTTTTGTGGGATTTGTTTACCTTCCCTGTACTTTGCACTACGATCTATATGTTTTATTCTTCTTCTTCTTGGTTCTTTCGGTAAAGTCACGTAGAAGGGAAGTTCTTACCCCGTGCCCCGAGTGGACATCTGTGAGAAAATGGCTTCATCGCTCATCTGATTCCCCCAGAATAAATGCACATTCTGATGCATTGCCCAGGAGGGTGCTGCTACAGTGGGATGTGTGGGCCATGCATTCCCTGAGTGATGAGAGTTTGGCTTCGTGTGGTGGAGGAAAAATCCGAGAATCCCGGAGCAAAATCCCCAGCAGACAAACGCGCGCGAGGTTTATGAATCCGAGACAACTCCGCACAGACGGATTCACGATCCCACTTCCTGCACATCCATCTCCAGACCATCTCAAAGCTGTCGAGAACGGACATCAACATCACACCACCACCACAATCACAACAGCGACGACCGCCGTTCGCCACTAAGTGGCAGTGACGTCGCCACAGCGTCTGTGCCAGGCTGCGTGCTCGCTACAGGTCACGGGACAGACCCAGGTGCCGTGGGTTTTACTGACTGAGATGACCACTGGCATACGCACCACCTCTGCTCCCCGCTGTGCCAGCCCGCTGCGTTTTAACCCCCCGGTCGCCACTGCTCGTTGTTGTGAGCGTCGCTCCTCCACCCTCCGCTGTTGCTGGAGGACGACTGCCTCCAACTGCCCAGTAGCGTTCCTCGCGAGCCTCCGCCTCCACAGAGGCCGATCTCGACACCACCGGTACCAGCCATCGGCTCATCCACTCAGCTCCACATTCTCCTGTACCGCATCAGCTAATGATCTTCTCTGGCCCAGTGCCGTGCACAATTAGCCCTCGCCCCCCCCCCCCCCCTCTCTCTATCCGGCCGAACAGAAGCTGCTTGGTCATGCGGTGGTAATCACAACCACCATCACCAGCCACCAAATGTAGTCTCCGCCGCCTCATTGCACACTAAATTGATGCGCGCATTTAAGCATGTGCTTAAGAATTAATTATTTACAATGAACGCAAATTGCATGCAAATTATTACGCGCACGCGACATCTCAACTGCTCCTGGCAACGAACAGCGGGGCAAGGAGCGGTGCAAACGGGAGAGACGGCGAAGTTGAGGCTTTAAATATTTTTGTGATTTCATAAAATTATCGCTGTAATAATACGCAGCATTTAGAAAGCGCATTCGAAGTACTCAACGCGCCGTGTGTTTATCACGTTAATAAATATATCGATAACAAATCATAACAACAACAGATATAAAGTGTGGCCTTAAAGGTGAATATATACGTATAACGATTATATAATATTTCGATTTAAAGCTTTCGTGACTGCAGGGATTCATCTTTTTGATTCTTTCGGTAAAGTCACGTAGAAGGGAAATAATAAAATAATAAAAATAAAACATAATAAAATAATTCTCACGACGTTTCGGCCACAACGCAAGCAGCCGTCCTCAGGTGGAGAGCAGGTCTGTCGAGTACACAGAGTCTGAGGACGGCTGCTTGCGTTGTGGCCGAAACGTCGTGAGAATTATTTTATAATGTTTTATTTTTATTATTTTATTATTTCCATTCTACGTGACTTTACCGAAAGAACCAAGAAGATTATATAATATATAAAAACATATAATAGGCAACGTTTCGGGCAATGGTCCTTCTCCGTAGCACATTGCTTGCTCTCCACTGCCACCACTGCAGTTTCGCCCAATAACCGGTTTAAATTAAAATGTAAAGATTGTTATAAATTGTGATTAGTTTTTTTTAAACGGTGAATACAACTTTGCTGAACACAGGCATAAAAGTCGGGACGACAACAACAACAAAAAACCGTCAAGCGGCCAGTAACAAACAGCACCCAACCTCCTCCTCAAACTCCCCATTTCCTCCACCGATTTCGACTCGATGGTAACAAAACAAAAAACGTCGCGATTCGGAGTCTCGAATAAATTTCCGAGGACCGATTTGATAGACGCCAAAAGGAAATTCCGCACCCGATTGTGGGACCCTCCGTCGCGTGCTCTGAAGAAAGGTGCCATCGTTCGAAAATTAATTTATTTTATATTATTGCACGTTTAAGGACACACACACACGCACGCACGCGTGAACACGGTGTTGGTATTGACGGTCACTGTTCGAGTAAGTGTGGTGATGTCGCATTGTGTACCACTGCCAAGGCATTACGTATCATAACTATATTACAAAACACGAGTTTGGCTGGCTGGCTGGCTGAATTTGCTGGAGAGAGGGGCACGGGTGCGTGCAGACCGCTCGCTTCGTGAAGAAGAATAAAATAAAAGACCCGCCGGTGAATCGTAGCGCCTCTAGTGGCAGCAAGAAGAGGTCACGTGAGCGCAGCTGATTGCTGTGGCCAGGGTAAAATGATGACGCGGCTCGGCAAGTCGACGAGCAATCACCGCAGGGGGTGAACGTGTTGGGGGTGCGGGAGGAGTGAGCGTGGGTGGGGGGCATAGAGGAGGGGGGGGTAGAGAGGTTAGGGGTGGGGCGTATTCATGGTCCGTGTCTCCAAACTTACCCCCACCCCATACACACAACGCCCCGAGTTTGAAATGCCGCAGAATTTAAATATTAACGCCGCGCGCGTGCGCGTGTGTGTGTTTGTGTGTGCGTTCATGTGTGCCTGTGTGTGTGTGTGTGCCGGTGTGTGATTTAAATGGGGAGTTGTGGTGCAGTGGTTTTGTGCAATGCGCTACGAACAGGGGGGCCCCGAGAGCTATTCCCTCTGCACGACCAATAACAGTGGACATTCTTTGGGCCTCTCGTAGGTCGGCTCAGCCACAAATGAGTAGCTGAAGCGGAGTGTAAACCATCAGCACTCGGGAGACAAAGGCGGCCGGGCGTGGTGCTGGCCACCCAACCCATCGTGCGCCGTGTCGGCCTTATTCGGCTGCTCACTCGCTATGACGGCGCTTGTCCCTACATCCCGTGAATTTTTACACGGGGGATCTTTGTCTTTGGTATTATTTCATTGAAATGAACTCAGCACCGCGGACAGCGAATTGTGGAGCTGGTCGGATCCAGCATTGCAACGTACGTTTGTCACGCACGTGCAGGCGCTGTCCATGGATCTCATCTCACTCAAAGCAACACTGTACATAGGGTCCGTGGTGTACGTGTGTGTGGGGGGGGGGTGGGGGGTGTAGCGGTTAGGTGCTCGCTAACAGCACTTGCCCCTACAGTCTGTTAAGGCTATACGGGGGATCTTTGTAGTGGTTAACGCGCCGCGCTACCAAACCCGGCCACGCGAGTTCGATTCGCGCCCACGGCCGACGCCACCAGTGATGAATATTCGAACCGGTCCTGGGCCTCCCCTAGGTCGATTCAGCCTCAAATTAGTAGCTGGTGCGGTGTGTAAACATTGTGCCACTAAGGAGACAAATGTATTCGGGCGTGGTTCTGGCCATCCAGCCCCTCGTGTGCCGTGCCGGCCTTCATAGGTGACACTCGCTAACAGCACTTGCCCCTACAGTTCGTTAAGGCTATACACGGTGGATTGTTGTCTTTTGTGGCCGGAGCGAAACCCGAAGACCCTAGTTCGATCCCTGCACACGGCCGGCACCATCAGTGAGAATTATTATTATTATTATTATTATCCGAACCGGTCCTGGGATTCCCCCCTCGGTCGACTCAGCATTAAAAGAGGCACGTGACACAATGTGTAAAACATCGCCACTGGGGAGACAAAGGTGGCCGGGCGTGGTGCTGGCCACCCACCCACCCCCCTCGTGTGCCGTGCCAACCTTCACAGGCGCTGCTCACGAACGGCGCGTGCCTCCTACGGTCTGTTAAACGCTACCTGGGGGATCTTTGTCTTTGTGTGTGGCGGTGCGTGTACGAGCGAACGAGCGAGCGAGCGAGGCCGACAGACAGACAGACAACCCTCGAGTCAGCAGCGCCGCGAGGCTGACGTCTAAACTTTGCAATGATCTCGACTGTGTTCGCATCAATAATGCAGCCGCGTTAATAATGCAGCCGCATCCGCGAGTTCCGAAAATAACGCAAGACTCGTCGTCATAGTAGTAGCAATAAATGGATTATTATTTTTTTAAGTAGTATTATTAACAGATATATAAATCAAGAACGGACAAACATGTCTCTTAATTGGCGGGTTGCATTTATTCCCCAGATAGAGGAGCCATGAATTACCTAATCACCAGCGTCATTATCATCATCATAATTCACACAGTGAGACGTGGTCTATCTATAGGATGGTCACGAGACCCGGTTTATCCTGCAAATTCTCGCCGATTTCCAACGACCCATCATCAATCCATCAACTCATTTTCATCGCTCCAT